CGGTGGCATCACTATGTATGGTGAATTGGTAGAATTTAGAATTCATGGAAGTTAGATGTCGTTTCAGTAGGCTCGCCTCGCGCTGGGCTCTATCTCCGACTGATGAGTCTCAGACCAGGGCGAAACATCTGGCCAAAACTCTCTGATTTTTAGTGGTTCTTGAACTAATGTTAGTTTGTAATCTAGTTTCATGGCTGAACACTGCTGAAGTTTACCTAACTATGAAGAAACAACCATTCAGTGGTACTTGGCTTTCAATGATTCTCTAACTGGTGTCAATATGTGAGGAAATCTAAACTGAAGGCAGTTAAAATTCCTAAGAAACCCTGAATCTTAATATCAATCTCTTGTCCATCAACAGCAACAGGATTAATGTCCTGAAGTGCGGCTGGTAGGATACACTATTCCATGAGTGAAGTGAGTGCATTCTATCAACGATCATCTTCCTCCGTTTTCTATATTTAAATTTAGAGTGCAAAAGTTTGCATTATTATTTTCTCATTCTACGTGTGAGAAGCTGTGTGTGGCGTGTACTACTGATAAATCTATCAGTAGTATATAAAGAGACGTTCATCGGTATAAAAATATCATATAACAGGGAGATAGATTTGACGTCAATGAAAGCAAATGAGTCAGCGTTGCGGAGAAACATGGGAGACGTGAAAGGAATACAAAGAAACACAATATGAAGGCCAGAAGTAACACAACAAGGAAGATCTGTGCAAATGGAGATTTGAAGATAAGGTGTACATAATTTTGCCAAATAGCGATACCGAATAAATGTTCATTCATCAAGTCTCTCGTCTCCTACCGTTGAAAGTGAATTTCTTTCTAAATTTTTGTGTTCCTGTGAGTTAACCATATGTCCGCTTGATTTTACCTCGAAAGACGTTGACCCATCTAATTAAACGGGCATTCAGCACGCAATATTTCATACACCGTATTATTCTCTTCTACTTTTTTATTGGACCTTTGAATTGATATACTTTGTTCCTAATCACACTTGTAGCCGTAAACAATTCCCTAAAATTATTAGTCTACAGCATACTTCACTCAACACTGAATGCTGGATCTCACTCTTTACGTCAACTTGTCATGCATCCTCGCGATTCAGCACGCTATCATATTACTTTCAGTCGTTCGTGTATGAAGCTTAGCTAATTAATCTATCATCATGGCTCTGAGTTTCTGATCCCAAAATATATCTTGTATACTGGACGATCAATTTGCTGTTTTGATTTTTCTCTGGTCTCAGTGGAACAAATACTTTGGGAGTAAAGGGATAAATACTAGTGTTTGTATACAACGTATATCGTGTAAACGTCAACATCCTTCATCTTCTAAACCCTCATTGGTTCCAGTGTAGTTCCGACACCGCCTTTTCGAAGTTCATTTGAATTGTCTCTAGTGTACCTTTGTTGTGGATGTCAAACCGAGAATCGGAAAGGCGAGAAACACATTCATCAACCTAAAACCAATCTGGAAATCTTCGTCACTCCTCAGCATCAACAACAAAATTCGGATTTTCAATACAAACGTCAAGTCAGTCAGTTCTTCTATACGGATCAGAAACATGGCGGCGGGTCACAAAGAATATTTCCAACAGCCTGTTGCAGACCTTTATCAACAACTGTCTTCGCTCTATACTGAAGATCAAATGGCCGGAAAGAATCACCAACAAGAAACTATGGGAACCAACAAAACAAGAACCAATCGCTCAACAAATATGCACGAGAAAGTGGAGATGGATTAGACACTCGCTGAGTAGGCCGCTGGGTGACATCGCGCGTCAGGCCCTCGAGTGGAACTCGAAAGGGAAGTGGCGAGTGGGACTTCCAAGGGTGACATGGAGGAGATCGTGTGAAGGGGAATTGAAACAGTATGGATTAACATGGACGAAGGGGAAAAGTACAGTAGGAGACAGAAGCAAGTGAAGACGTGTAGTTGAAGCCCTATGTTCCACTAGGAACCCAAGGGAACAATAATAATAATACCTTTGTCGTATGACAATACTATAACCTGCTGATAAACATCTTTCTTGTCATTTCCAGTTTTGGTTTTCCTCTCTGTCATTATTCTTTAAGTTGTCTTTAATGAACTATTCCTGATGGTGACGTTTAAGAGACAGCATTTTGAGTAGCATATTAATTTCTTTAGCTGACCGTCCAAGATGTTGTTAAGTATTCTGTTTGCAATACTCTATAATAACCCTGTTTTACAGAGATTAGTGTACCAGGTTGCAATACAGTAACCTTCCTGAAAACACTACTTTTATATAAGTCGTTTTTAAGCTAACATATATTCTTCTTTCTATTCTGCAGTCGAGCATCGGTAGTTCACCAAGTTCATTCTCTATTTCTATGTTGAACTTATATTGAATATACACAATTATAAACATCATGCAGCCTAGTTCCGCATACATAGAAATGAATAACTGCAAATTAAAAATGCTGGATTCAACATAGAACCTGGCACCGAAGTGCAGCAGTTCGAGTTACCACGTTCCAAATAGCACACAAAGGTAGACAAGAAAATGAGTGAAGAGAATCAATAGAGTTTTGACAAGTATAAGAGTGAAACAGAATGAGTAATGGTAGAAAGGAATATGAAAGATTACAGAGACTGAATACATCTGCGTAAGCCATTGACAACGATTTTGAGCCATGTCACCTATTGTCTCCAGCCATTGATTCTTAGAGTCCCGAGGGCGGGCCCCAACCCGGAAGTCTGCATCTCTCTACCTGACTCAGTTTAACTGTCAAGGATTTCATGGATTGATTGGGCCATGTTTTTGTTTGGCCACCACTTACTCTTTTCCAACTTGCATCTATATCAGCTAGTAATGCCCGTCGGGGAAGGCGATGGTTAGGCAGCACGTGACCTAGCCATCTCAATCTACGTAACTTAATAGCCTCTTCGATTGATTTTCCCCCTTTGCCCAACACTCTACGTCTAACGTCAACATTACTTACTTTATTATGCCACCTAACGTGAGAAAGAGATCGTAGACATCTATGATAAAAAACAGTCAACCTTTTCATGTCTTCAACTCGTATTGGCCATGTTTCAGAGCCATAGAGAAGGACGGAGCGAACTGCTGAGCAGTACACACGTCCCTTAGTTGATAGTTTGATGTCATGTCTACGCCAGAGATGGTGTAAGTTAGCGAAAGCAGCTCGATCTGTTTGGATCCGTGCTGAGATTTCGTCACCAATCAATCCATTGGTGCCGATACAACTTCCCAAATAGGTGGTGGTCAACATGTTCTATCACATCACTCCCTATCACTAGGCTAGGGGTAGACGTAGTCCAGTCCTGTAGCAGCATCTTACATTTTACAGGGGCGAATCGCATGCCAAACATACGAAGATTGCTGCTCAAGGTGTTCAGAAGACTCTGCATTTTGTCAGCATCCCCCCCTAACAGGACTATTTCATCTGAATATTCTAAGTCCATAAGACTATACCCTGGTAACAGGTCGATTTCTAAGTCGTTAAGTTCAGTTAAGGATACTTCCATTAGCATATCTATGATGAAGTTAAACAGAAATGGGGAAAGTGGACATCCTTGACATCCTATTTTTTAACAAATTAAAAATACACCCTGGATAACTACTACTAGTAAATGTGTGAATAAGAAAATTCCAATGAACACTATGATCACGCGCTGTAAGTTTGCTAGAAATATTACGAAGGTTAAAAAATTATCAATGCCTTCGGCAAACACATTTATAATGACTCGATCTATTCATTCCACAATTCACACATTTTCATTAAAATTGGTTTATTGTTGAAGTAATTCGGCGGATGATGACTAGCAGTGGAATCCAGGACAACGTGCACTTCGTCCTATCCGGGACTCGTCAGCTACTGGATGTTCTTACAGTGAGGAGGATGTGTCCCACTGAGGCTAGAACCCAGTACGCATAGTTTCAAACGCCAAAAAGCGATATCGAATACACCACTTGGTCCACGAGAACCACCACTTCTTGCACAACTGGTAGCAGTAATTATTTCATTCAATATGTGAACATGCTAACCTGAGACCGAGTACTTCGTTCCTATCAATCAACGGGAAAGTACAAGTTGAATTAAACAATTGGTTTATTCTTACTAAAATTCGTCTTCAGTTGCTAACACTTGCAACTTTCTTCTTGACTTGACTGACTGCTTTCAACGTAGAACTTCGCACAGATGTGCAGCAGTTCGAGTTGCCACACTCCCTCATTGTAGCACACAAAGCACGAAGAGAGAGAGAGAGTAAAGAGAGATTCAAAAGAGAGATAATAAAAAGAAATATGAGGTAAAAAGAATAGCAATATGGAAGAACAATAGAGTCCCATTGGATATGATAAATCACAAAGAGTGAATGAATGCATCTGTGCTAGCCATTGAGAACGATTTTCAGCCATATTTTAATATTTTTTAATATTTTGATTATAGCTTGAAACCACACAGTATTTTTGGTACAAATATGGAATTTTCAGCATGTGATATCGGTAGCCCAAATTTTGCAGGCCGACTATTGATATCGGGTGTGCGCCGGCAGGGGATCGAACCCCGGGCCATGTGCATGGTCGGCGAGAGTCCTAACCACTGTGCCACCGACGCCAATTGTCTCCACCTGTCATTGGTTCTTACTATCCCGAGGACCACAACCAGAAAGTCTACACCTCCTGACATGGCATGAACTAACTGTTGAGAATTTCACTGACTGATGCCATGTTTTGGTTTCTTCAACTTACGATTTGACTAGATTGAAAACGCAGTAACATTGAAACCATACACGTAACTATCCACATTTAAAATTTCGCCTTAAAAGTTAAGTGTCTAAGCTAATGAGCCACATCTTGACAATGAACTATTACTTATTCCCATGACATGTGTTCAAAATACTTAGCTAGTATGTATAGTTGATAAAAAGGACTTGAATTGTATCACATAGATTCAGTAAAATCTTCATCTTTGAAACAGTAACTGGGTTATGATAATAATCATTATGGCTGATGATAATTATATTTGAAAATATGAAATATTCTGAAATAAACAACTGTACACATTGATATAATATATGAGGAATTAACATGTCAAAGATTCTCTGTTACGTTATTCTGTGGATTAGCCGAGACAATTGACACCTCACCACTATTTCCATCATCATCGTCATCATCATCATCCACTTCAGCAAATGCATCTGATGCTTCACCAGCTCGTGAAATCATACGTAAAACAATACCTGAAATTTGACGAGTATGATCTTTTGGTGATAGAGTGCCAATTATTTGCCAAGATGTAGATGTGTTGGTATATGCAGATCGACAAATAGGGCACTGAGTACGATTAGCTTCTTTGGGTCTGCAGTTATTTGATTCTTGACCTGGAACAGATAGGTTAGTATTTATTCTCGAATTTGTACCAGTACTTTGATCGTTTGCCGATGGCAGTCTGTAACTAAGCCCAGCCCTATATATAAATAAATAAACATAAAGAATTGACTAAAATAAGCATATCAAAATCAGTAAGTGTGCTACATTACGTTGCGCACAAGTTGGAATTAAAAACGATGATAGATCACGACAGACATATATAAACAAAGAAGTGCATCAATTTTGGTTTAAGTTACTTCATCAACATTCTTGCACTATTTATTCTTAACCTCTTGGCAAATATCATTTACATAGAACTTGACCTCTCGTAAACGAACCGGTGCGGCAGAGACTGGATAGACTCAAGTCTTCCTTCCGAAATGCTTTCATGTGGCCACACATTCAAAGCCTGCTTCCACGATGCAGGTGTTCCTTACAAAAGTGAAAAGGAAGAATGAGGACGCCTGGGGTTTACAACCGGACTGGTGGATACGCATGTCTACCTACGGGAGCTGGAAAACTCTGATTCCAAGCCTATGATGTAAATGGGTTCCAGAATCTGAAAGGATCAAATGGCATATGAACGTGTTTTGGTCACTATCAACCATGAGAACGTAGCTCCTGACGCTGCTCCCCTGCCTTCTAGATCAGACTTCAAATGAAAGGCTCAGGTTGTTGCCCTTCAAGACAACTACATGCTTTGGTCTTGGCATTCGGGCAGTATCCCAGCCCTCGCACAAACTATGAAATACTGTGTGATGTCCATAACGTACCAAGTTTATGGTTTAATAAGTAGTGGCATCATACAGGTTTCAACTATATGTTTTTGATTAGTCTCCTCATTTAAAACAATTTTTAATCACCTTACGGTTATCAGCGTCGTGTTTCATTTTTCGGTACTCAAAACTTGTCTGAATGTGCCAAGTCGATTAAATGAGTAGTGTAGAAATGAATGCCTCAGTTCGGTGATTTAAACATTTATTTATCCGTTATTGTTACATTCTTAAATCCCACTTTACCCGCTTTCATCTGAGGTTTTTAAGTGATAGGTTTTACATAAATATGTGCGCAACTGCAGACATCAGCACAAAGTTATAAAAGATGGCTTTTCAAGGGGGACTCAATGCTGATGTAAATTTTCATTATCAGTGTCAGTTATGTACCCTTTAAATCCTGTGGAATCACACTATCGCAGTAAATGCTTTAATGGGATTATGAATACACGAGCTAATATATTTGAGATGTGCTACAGCACAACCTTAACAACCACTTAACAGGACAAATGTAGCTTAGACTACGATTACACAGATTCAAAGAGAAAACTGTAACTCTAGAGCCAGTTACAGTCTTGTCAGAATGTTCAACAAACCTTTGACCTACGTTGCTACCTTTTCATAGGATGGATAAATGTATTTCTAACACTAAATGTGGAAAAAATGTTTGAGTTATTTAGGAAAACCACTAGGGAAGCGGAACTATCTGGAGATACTGGTTTCCGTAATTTGAACAGATCCCATATGTCCGTCCCAATCAGTCTTTTTATTTTAAATGTTTGGTGACTACCGACTGTCTTTGAGAAAAGGTGGTGATCTTTTGACGTGGAACAAAAAGATAAGTGATTTTTAGGTCAGTGTGTCAGCGCATTACGACTGCTTAATGGGTTCCAAGAAAAAATGGAATATAACAGGTAGAAAATCGATGAAACATGACAACGCAGAACTGAAACCACCGGAAATTTTATTATATTTTCGCTGTAGTTCATATCACCAAAAGGTAATATAAGGACGACAAATGGGTTTTCTAAAGTTGTTCCGTGAAATCGAATTTTGACTACTCCTTAATTACTTTCTTTTTGTAATATCTAGTACAACATGTTTCTTGATTTCATACTACACCAAATGATGTTTTTATGTGGAACAAAGGTTGCATAAAGCAATGGGCTACATTACTAGACGAATAATATCAGCTACAATAGGATTAAGCTGTCAAACCGAGATCAGACCAAAGCGACACTAATGTATGAAAGCCCTTCATTTTGGTCTTAGCTATGTAGGAAAGTGAGTTACCTGGCTGGGGTGTTCTAAATGTTCAGAATGAATAGTGACAGACTTTTAATGACATGAGAAATCATTCAAAGATGTATATTAGCGTTTTCTTTTGAACACTAGCTAACCTTTACTTTACTAACCTTTACTTTCTTTTACACTCATATACGTCAAATATATCATTCCACTTCTATTTGTGTAAGTGTAGAACTTGAGCACTGTGGTAGAATGTAATTCCATATTAAATAAGTTTATTTTAAATATCACACAGCGATACAATATTAACAACTGGATGACCTTTCAAGCACAATCTAATGTAGTTGACCCTGATCTACTAGTGTGACCCATACAATTGACCTCACTAACAGTCATTACATGGTATTTGGTAAATTATATTATTTTTCTTAATTGGATCTATTGGGTCCTTAAGTCAACAAAGTTTATCTCCGAGAGAGTTGGTTGGTTTAAATGCCACCCTTATTCCAGCCCTCATTCAGAATCCTATGTAGGGCCTCTGACGTTCCTTTTTTGTACGTCAAGCGTCAACTACATTAGATTGTGCTCTAAAAGCCATCCAGTTGTTAATACTGCATCGCTGTGTGATATTTAAAATAAACTTATTTAATATTGGATTGCTTCTATTTGCTCTATGTGCTGTTTGGAAGTGCGGTAACTTTATATGATGAGGTCCTGTGCAAAGTTTCTCCCTGGTATGGTAGTCAGTTGTAAGTCACATGCTTTGCAAGGACAATTAGATACTGTTTGTCTGCAAGAATGTCTGAATATATATAAGCTTTTAGTGAAAATTAAATGCCCATACGAGAATCCATAGACCTAAATGGTATATAAGGAAAGATATCAGTGCAGTCCTTATGATTATTAAGTGATGAATTTTAAGTTCATCTCGAAAACAGGGTGGTAGTTAACATTATGTGATTTCTAATTACCGCTTATTAAAAACTTTAGAGTGAAATAATTTAATATGACTCATTTCATGATAAATTAAACATTCTTCTAAAAAATAATATTACCCTAACAAACATGCTTCTTAATGCCATTTTTATTAGGTGACAACTGAAGACTGTAACCGAACTTTGGTAGATATAGAACGTTTTACAGTTGTGGTCCACTAACTGAAAGCCTGGAAAAAGAGTCAAAAGTTCCAGTTAAAAAAAAATTATTGTATGATGTTTTGGTATCTGATCGCTTTCTATTCCTATGACGGAAACACTATGGATACAAAGTCAGTATACACTTTGTAATGAAAGTTATTTGGCATAATAAACTGATATCGATTGGAGTAACAAGACAACTGAATTCTCACTGCATAACTTCAAGTCGATATATGTCCAGCATCTGCCTATCTTGATATGCAATCTTGGGTTAAATTAGATCAGATTGAAAAACTAAATTAGTTTAATATAGGAAACTGCAAAAATCCATGACTTCAATGGCGACTGGTTTTAGTTATGTAGGTAAGTATATCACCTAGATGATGTCTAAAAGATGCGAAAGCATTCAATATTTTACCCTAACCATTTCCCCACTTATCCATACTACTTGACTTTTTTCCGTTTTATTACATTCTGCAGCATTTGATTGAATGTTTCCATCTTCTTGTATTCACTATTTTTGCCGCTTATTTGAAGTACAGGTTAATTAGACGTTTAAGAATTAATGACGCACTTATTATTCGTGATATTTACGACTCAAGTTGTTATGAAGTTCAACCAGTGCCTATGATGGTCAGCGAGACCCCATCCTGATGTTTTGATTCACTTCCAGTCTGAATTCCCGCAGTAGGTGCCGCAACCGGAAATACAGATATTACCAGTGAGTCCGAATAGCACAGTGGTAACGCCTGTGGAAGCGACACTAAATGAATCTTCGAGGGAATATCACTTCCTTACAGGTTGCTGACATTATCTTGCTGACAAGTTCTGAAACCTAGATTCAGGGGATCCGATCGATTGTCTCCAATCATGTAACAATAATTAACCTCCCCAAGTTTACAAGCCTGGAAAAGAAGTAAGGTTGAACGTGAGGCTAGCAACGCCACCCGCAAAAACATCCCTACTGCTTGATAAACTTCGAAGAGAAAAAAAATCGATTTACGTTATTCTAACTTTTAGTGCTTTCACAACTGTTTATGCATCTATATTGAATAAATATCAGAAAGCAGCTGATTACTTCTGATTTTAAAAGCACACAAAAGTTAACGAAGCTAGGAATTATGTTACATTTCAAACAAAAAGCAAACAAATACTAATAATTAGTCAAATGGTTACAATGAAGAATAATGAGCTACTTATTAATGGCTTTGTTAACTACCTGACTCAAACTGGGGGATTTGCTAATTGATCACATGAAACTGAATCAAGTGTTAGCGATGCCTATAACTTCATAATCTAGTGATCACACTTTTCCTTATCCTTAAAAAAGATATTTTGTTTCAGATTTTTACAACTACTGATGCATAAAACTCAGTTTTGTAAACTGTCGATGAGCGATACTGATTTCACATTGTGTTTAGTTCTTCTTTGTTTTGATGCACACTAATTCAAAACTACATGCACTTACAAAAACGATTAGCACTTTTGAAATGTAGGTATAAAGGAGTCAACTGGATTGAGGCTTTTTGTGAGCCTATCTTCGCATGAATCACAAAAGTGTCTCTACTACATTTAGGTTCGATTAAAACAGGAAGATAGTATTGTTGTCTGAATATACTGCTTTGCGGAACCAAAACTAGAAATGTGGAGATGTGGCTCATGGGTTTAACCACTCAACTTTCAGCCAGTGGGTTCCGAGTTCGAGACTTCAGCTGGGTAGTATCACCAGTCCTCAACAGCTAACAGCCTAACACATGAGACCTGTTCCCGGAACTGAGTTGAAACAAACTATTTGGAATAACATGCACACTTGGATAATTAAAACTAGAAAAGTCACACAACATTAAGTGGGAGTTACAGTAATTTTATCACATCCTATATTTCGGTAAATAGCTGAAGCTTCACAAGGAATCAAAACAGGTAAGCTTTTAGAAAGCTACTGTTATTACGCTACGAAATTTAATTTCACAATTTTCAGACAGTGAATTAGTGTGCTAAATTCAGGGTGGCCATCTCTGCTGGATTCATTCAACAAGATTCATCCAACATAAGTTCACTGGGGTGTTACTTCGTGTCTAACAAAGGAAACTAGCAGCAATACTTACGCTTCATAAAACCACAATATGAAGGAAACTAATGACAGCTTTATATATATATTTATATGCATATATATATATATATATATATATATATAAATTACTTACCATTTGTTGATGCAAATTTGACAAAATACATGCATACACGGAAGGACCGTGTCAGGTTCTCTGTCCAAGCAAATGCAGCAGGGATCGTCAGATATGTCAGATGAGCAATTTCTAAACTATGTTAGGCATATTAGATGCAACTTAATACGTGATTTTAGGTTGAGAATCTATAATCGACTTGAAGCGTATGACCTCATCATACAACAGCATAAATTCCTTGAGATCAAATACTCTATAAATAGAGCCATCTCTCCTCGACTACTATAGTCAAAGCAAAACACAGAGGCTTACAATACTGCAAAAAACTTTGGTAGTGAGCCGCCAGAACACTCCGCTTTGATGCTTCTTCAGACTGAACTTGACGGAAGAACACCTTTCTCCGAATGTAGTGGTACATCTAAACGTAGGTGAAAATTATATTCTTAGTTTACAGTTTATTTAACTCCAAAACCATATCAACTAAATCCTCATAATTGATTTTAGACAACCTTGCAGCACATCTAATATTCTGGTCAAGATCATGAAGTGACTCGCTCAGCGCGAGTTTCATACAATATCCCAAAGCTAAACAGTTGATTAACATTAAATATGGGTTTACATTTAGGAGTGTGTGAGCCGAACATTTATTAGTCCGTACCTCACATATTCGAAAATCCCGGCACTACTTGCATGGTTTCAGTAGAGAGAGGCTTTGAGTTTCAGAATAGTAGAGTCTCCTTTAAAGTAGAACCGATCGTTTCGTTTTCGCCTGGCTGATTTGATGGAATGACATCAATTCTACTGAAAATCGACCAATCATTTCGTTTGAGAGGCAGTGATTCACACAGCTACAGCTTGGTGATTGATCTCTGTCCTTCAAATATATCCTTTTGGTTGAATCAGAATAGAAGAAACCAGAAGCATAGCTCCGGGCTGTGAAAAATCCCATGAAATTCCGCATTTCAATCTCACGTTTCCCTATCGCCTGTGATGCTATACCAGGAATATATTCATATTAGAAACAAGTCTCTTATTTAATAGCTGGATGATCTGGAATACATCACTGTAGTCGAATTTTTGAATTGTTATTGGATTAAGAGATATGACAAAGACGACTGTCAAAATGTCCCTGCTCCTGGTATAGATCAAAAAGAACAGGGGAGAGCGGCTTGTGGTCCTATTTTCTTAAATATATACTTCTGAGGCATTCTACTTGATATTCAGCGGTATTTTTTGCTAGACTTCTTACGGAGGGTTAGGTAAACAACAATGACCATGTCTGCACGATGACACATGGCGATCTCTTACGGTTATCTCGTTGCAGCCGGCTAACTTGTAGTCCGACTAATTTCGCGCTTCTCACATTCTAATAAAGTGATATGTAATGGATGTACCATTATTCTGCAATCGGTTTCTCAAAGAGAAATAAGCAGAGTGAAGAGTTTTCAGATTCACTGGTGACTATTAGAAAAGAGTGAAAAATGTTAACAACGCAGATGTTATTCAGCGGGGATCGACTACAATTAGTTAGTCTATTATACGGGTAAAGAAATGTCTAGTTACTGAACACTGATTGCAGTCTAGGTTGCCGAAAATGTGGGAAGTTTTCAGTAAGCTCCTCACAAAATGCGCAACAGAAAACCGGGTTCTTGGAACAAAGTTAGGGAAACTAAATGCTTTGGAAATACTGCTGTGGAGACTATAGGCTGGGTTCCGTGTGTAGTGGCAATTTTCTTAGATAGTGTGGATTTTCATGGAGGAAAGTAACGAAACAAGGTCAATGAACGAGATGTTAATATACCCGGAGAATAAACACAATGGCTGCTGCACGGTAAAAAAATATGGAAAATAAATCTGGAGTCGGACAGACAGAACAACATGGGATAGTTAGAGCCTTCGGGAAGCCAGTAGTTCAATAATACAATAAAATAACCATGGTGAAATAGAATATCCTCTCGATGTTCGAATCTTGGAAGGCTAATAAAAATGAGGAGGAAACGAAGAGATATAATATAGGAATACTAAAAATCTGTGGGGATCAGATAGACACCATATATTGCTGACTGGAAAGTTAGTAAACTACTTCAGTCACGAAGTGACAGCGGTGAGCACCCGCTACCAAGATGTCACCAGCTGCGCCCAAAGTCCTTATGCAGTGAGAACCAATATCATGCAGGACATGGACAGCAACATTAAATCCAGATTATCTAATGCCAATCTGATACAAAGAGTGAAGATCAGGAAGACAGAAGAAGAATTCCACAGAGAACTGCGAACAATCTTGGATAAGAACCAGGCTGGATTGCGACATCAAAATCTTAGTATGTGAAATGAATGTCAAACTAGAAGTGGACAACATGGGGAGTGAATTCATAACAAATCTGGAGGCTTTCGATGAAATAAATGAGAACGGCAAAAGTTCTGTAAGCTCTTCAGTCTTCAACGATTTGGTGGTTGAGGCATTCAAAGAATCATAATTATTTAGATTCACCGCCAAGAAATTGATGAATGAATGTAAAAAGTAAGTCTTTACTGCGACCATCAAAGTAGAGTTCTAGGAAATAAGACGGACAACTCTGCGACACACTGGCAATTGAAAAAGAACAGACCACGCGTCCGAACAGCCAAACATCTCCATACCAGATAGCCAAGCTGCCATCTGGGAAGAAACCAGCACAGATAAAACCAGTTAAAGATAATGAATTGGGCCTAATTACAAGAAAAAAGAGAGAACTGAAATAATGGCCTAATCACTTCTAATAACTCTTGAACCGACGGTCAACAACATCCCGTCTAGAAATACAATCAACGCCCAAAGAACCGCCATTTAAACGAGTCTGGAAGGCTGGAATTCCTCCCGAAGCTGACAAACACGCCGAATATCTTCAAGACAGTATAGTACGGAGTTCAGAAGCAAGGAGAGATACTTACTTGTTGGGTGAAGAGTTGCCTTGTCAGAATGCTGAAACTGTAAAATGAGACGCTGAATCGCACTATTATTCGCCCTGAATAAATCATTTAGCAGCGTCATCCTGGATAGACTAAAGGACTTCTAGGATACAAAACTGTTCCGAAGGAGCTGGATTTAAGGACGGCAAAGCAAGTGATAATCAAGTCAGGGAGAGAGAAGACGGGAATATGTGAGGTTAGCCAAAAGACTTCAGAAGATCTAGACATCGCAACTGATTTGTGTCACATAATCCTGAAGGTGTACAGGCTTAAACCAAGAGAACAAGTCGAGGGAAATGAAGTGGGTGTACGCTGAGTTGACCAATAATTGGCAGCACGCCAGACCCTGTGGAGTACATAAAAATGTGATTGTAAACTTTTTGTTAGATGTTGAAGTTAGAGACATTGTACATGACTTTTGTTTAAAACGATTCATGTTGGAATATAGATAACTTCTGAGTACAATCTAAAATACACTGTACTGTTAGTCGTTTCGTCTTCTCACTGATCTACACTGTCTACTTGTTTCACTCATAACCACGTTGTATACTGTGGATTTTTGCAGGAACCTCTTATCCTCATCCGAAGACTATTCCACAACCAGTACACAGATTCTACCAGTAGACACAACCCCAGCAGTAACAACTGCTGTGGATTAAATTAATAATTTGTAGCAGTGCACTTTGTCTGTACAACCAAGGAACTGATCAATTAATATAATTCATTACTGTATTTTTTATAATATCCTGTTACACTATCATTTCATTAACTTAGATCGTTCTTTTCTAATATATGTTCAGTTACTGAGCCCGCTAGACAGTCCCCTACAAATTCATTGGTGAGCCCAAATGAACATTTTAGCTTTATAAACTCTATATTTATGTTATCATTTCGAATTTTGACTGCACATTCTACATATTTATATATCTGTGTACCTGTATATTCACGTTATACTCGTGTTTTCACCCACACGTGCACTTGCTGCACCTGAGACTGACGAGCCCCAAGATTCAACAATCAACGCAGTAGTTGACCTGTGTCTACCTCCATTCGATAACACTGAGCGTCGGATTTGGTTCGCTATCATTGAACCGTTATTTGCTGCCCGGGGTATCAAGCTGCAGTTTGCAAAGTATGGATGGGTCTTAGCTGCACTGCCCACAGAGGTTCTCGAAGACATTAGTGATTTAACCGACAGCACTCCTGCAGACCACCAATATGATCGACTCAGAGCAGTTTTGATCCAAAGAAGGAGTATTTCTGATGAGAAACGGATCCAGCAGTTACTCACCGCATGTGAGTTACGCTCACGGACGCCACCTCAGCTTCTCAGGCATATATGTCAACTGCTTAATCCACACAAGGCTGACGAAGTGGTCTTACGACAGATGTGGTTGCAGTGGCTATCATGTCATATCCAACAGGTTTTGACTATCTCCTCCGAATCCGTTGACCTAGATGCACCAACTGACCTTGCAGACAAAGTTATAGACGTAATGCCTGACACCAGTATCTACAACGTATCAACAAATCATGGGTTACCAGTTCAAGGTGCGTCTGCTGTGGACACACCTGTATTATCAGTGATTTCGGAAAAGCTAGAAACTGAAATTTCAAGCTTAGTGCACGAGGTAGTAGATCCCCGTCCAGGTCAAGGCAACGTCGACGGCCTTTCTCAAGACATTGGACCACAGCGCGTCGGTGGCACAGCGGTTAGGACTCTCGCTGATCATGCATATGGTCCGGGGTTCGATCACTTGCCGACGCACACCCGATATCTATGGTCGGCCTGCAAAATTTGGGCTACCGATATCCAGCCTGAAAATTCCATACCTGTACCAAAAAATTACGGTGTGGAATCAAGCTGTAATCAAAAATAAAAAAAAATCTCATAATACTCAAAATATTTGATTGTACCATAGTTTATTCCATATCTGTGCATACCTAATCAAGTAAAACTTTTGCCTGTTGGCTGTTTTACATTGTTCGATAGCTACTGTACCCCTAGTGTGTCTTAGTTTGTAGCCATTGTCAACTGAAAGTCGAGTGCCATTAGTAGAGGTAAAAACTAAATGGTTTAGAAGCTTATAGTAAAGTGTCAAGTTTAGTCTCAGGCGTCTTAGCCATAGTGTTTCTAGTCCTAGGGTATTACATCTAGTGGAGTAGTTCGCACCATTTTCGGTTCCAAGTAATTTAGCAAAGAACAAGATTAAGAACTGCAATTATCATTTGTTGACATTCTGGAGACCATTATTCAGTGTTTCGCATTTAGTTATGCCTAGCCTGTGTCATTCTGCCTGACTTTCAGTATGACTTCGCAAAGAAGTCCAACTGTTCAGTTTACCACATTCCATGCACCACACAAAGGTAGAGACATAAAACTAAATGGAAGTTTGACGAGCGAAAATTTGAGGGAAAATAAATAGTGACAACATGAGTTGAATAGATACGTGAGATTACACAGAGTGAATGCATCTGTGCCATAAACAAAGACTTGCAGACATATATCTAGTAGTTCTTCTAGCTGACTGTCAACGATTTTATGAACCAATAGCAGTTTTTCATTCGACCGACCCAAACACATTTCGAACCTTGACATGTGCTGGCTAACATTATCCCTCGAAGAAGGCGATGGCTTGGTATGCAATCACGTGTTGTAGCCATCTCAACCTATTCAGCTTCCCAACCTTGAAGACTAACTTATCCTCCTCAACTAACACTTTATGCGTTACCTCAAGAGCAATCGCCATATTATACTGCTTTAATCATGAGATAGAACACAGACACCTATAATCAAACACCGGTATTCTTTTCATATTTTCCGGTATCAGGGGTAACT